TGGGTGTTGCCTCCTAGCCTATTGTGTAGCCTAGTGTATTTGCTTTGTGAGACAAATGGTAATTTAATGTTTGTTGCTGAGGCAGTCTCATGTTCCTTACACAGGATGTGTACTTCCCTAGATGCAATCCCCATTAATTGGAAAGTAGAAATGCTGATTATTTTGTATATTTCCTTAACTGACTGTTCCACCACCAAGGATTTGTTCTTTGTGACAATGCTACGTTTCTGGTTTGACTTTTTAACATTGCAGAATTAAAAACCCTTTATTGGTTTATGTGAATCAGAGTGTGTAGACACTGGTTTATAGCTAAGCCACTTGATCTCAGTTTTCTGTATATGGTTTGGTGATGCCCATAAAACTGATATGTAGCTTTAATCCCTGCCCTGACCCATTTTATTGTGAAAAACAGCTTAACATTAAAATACTGACTGTTTTTGGACATCAATACATAAGAATTCCAAAAAGCGCTGTCATACTGTATTTAGTGGCAAATTGAAACCTTGAAAAAGTCTGAGATCACAGCCATGTTTTCTGCTCTGGGTTTGTGAATAAATTGATGATTGATGTTAAGTTGACCATTTCATTGATTTCATTAAACGGCTATTTAAAACTGATGGAAAGTTTCATTACAGATGATGACTAGTGGTTCCCTTAACTGAATGAGCTGAAATGGCTGCGAATCTTTCAAGTGTGTCTTATGTTTTGATTACATTGTAACCTGAAGAATTAGGCAGCTAACACCTCCTGTAATTCCTGTACATTTAAATAGTAAAAAGGATTCAAACGGTATTCTGCAAAAATGTAGGATCTTGAAGAACTGCAACATGTAAGACCTTAGCTGCAACTATTGGCCATAATATCCAAAAGTACAAAGTTAAATATGTAATGCACATTATGTGAAAGTATAAGCTTCTGCAAATCTAACAAAAACCCTAGAGATTTGTCAAAAGCTTAGTCTCTGAAAAGCAACGTACGTTCTCAGATGTAGAAAATCAGTCTTCATTGGCTAGGTGAGAAAAAAAAGCGGCATTGCTTTTACCCAAGCAGCAAGTTTTTAAACACTATTAATAGAGCTGTGTGTGTCATATGTGTGACTTTGAATTTGGGTTTGTCAGCGATCAGCAGTGATTTATGTTGCATTGCACTTTTTCAGCTCACCTGACAGCTCTGACAAGGAAGCTAAAGAGGCAGAAGTGAAAAAGATGAATCGTGGCTTTTTGTTGACACGGGTCAGGATCAGACGTTCCAAATGTACCTGGATTCAAAGCGTCTGAATTCAAAGACTGTTATCTATTCTTGCCTCTTCCCGTACCCAAAATAAGTAAGCACTCTGAAATCGAAGAAATAGTTTTTGACAGATTCAGATTACTTTGTGATATTGAAGCGTTGCAGTAATGTAGGTCAGTAAAGAAGAGAAATAAATGCACTTTTAATAATCCTTGATATGTAAGGTATCTCTTACTTTGGTAAACACCTTTTCATAGATTATTTCCAGTTGTTCAAAAAGAGCGATGCAGCTACGCCGTGGAGATTTCACGTGTAACGCAACAATGGTGTGATGAGGTTGAGGGTTTTGCATATCACCGAGAGTGGTAAACCCTTCTATGGATCCGTTCCAGGAATCTCACACAACTGCAGAACGGCAAACAACACTGGCCTACTTTCTCCCTATCATCTTCGCCCAGGGCTGCTTTATCCCTCCTTTAAAGCTTCTCTATAGCGTCACGCTTTTTTCCCCTCACTCAGCCTTTCTGGCCTCAGAGGTACCCGCTCAGCTTAGCATCAAACGTGATAAAGATGGCCGGCGTGCCATCGTCATAGGTGACTGTTTGTTTTGTAAAGTAATCCGGAAGCAGTCACTTAACGTCCCCATGAGTGGCACAGGGTCGATTGGGCAGCAGTGTGGCATTCTCTGGGCTTAGTCCTCATTGAGAGGGTATAAATAGATCTTGTTAAATCTGATCCTCTTTCTCTTTACCAGATATTATTCGCTCCCGTCTCACCACGATAATAAATGATTCATTGCACGTGTCAACAATCTTGATTGCGGGGTTAGAAACCACTTCAGGACACAAGGATGAATGTCATTTCAGTCTAAGTAGGGTTTCCCCACTGAATTCAGGAGATGAATTTATGGGTAACAATGGGATTTCAACAGGACTGAAAGCAGCTTGGGATATGATGCACCTTACTGGGCCTCATGAAAGAACATTTCTCTTTCTTATCCTAAATCTCTTATTTACTTTGAAATGTTTCTAACAAGTGTCTTACCTCAGATTTACCAAGCTCCGTAAACAGGACAAACTCTTTCTAACAAGACATTTCTGCTGGATCATTGCCCCCTGCATATGCTGGTGCACATATGTAAGATTCATGATAAGCAGCATTAATGCCCCTCAAATTTCAAAAGATACATTTATTTTTTGAAATATTTTATTTTAAATTTTATTTCAAAATTCATCGTTAGCACTCGTTACATTTTAATTGTGCCAAAGAGAACACTTAGAGTACAAGAAAATTGTTGGATGCAACTATTTATTTTGAAAAGGTGTTTTGCAACATTACATAATACACTATTACTGTCCAGAAAACCGATAATGGTCAATTATATTTTTAGAGTCCGCTACAACCGATTCAATCAAAGACTTGTTATAATCAGAATAACATAATAGTAAAATAATCTTTCTAATGTGCTTGTCACATCACGTTGAACTTTAAATCCTGAAATGACTGACCTCAGCTTGAAGGTCATTGCTTTTTTTGGATATTCAAATACCTGAAATGTTCTCTGTAATGTCGAGCATCATAAAAATGTTTGCATCCTCTGATTTATAATCATGAGAGGACTGAGCCATGAGGACCACTAATTGGTTAATACTTCTCAATTGTTTGTCGTCTATTCATCATCACATTAGACTTTACCATTAGGCTAATTGCTCAACCATTAAGCAGGGGCAAGTATTCTCTCTCTGTCAGCTGACATGTCTGGTGTCATAGTCAAAACGATGCATCAAATTTGTGGGAAATTGCCCGTAGGTCATCAACACCAACATGGGCACAACATTGGTCCATAGGCCTCTTTTGTATCAGATTTTCAAGGGCAAAGTGTGAGGGAGAATTAGTGAAGAGCGTTGTCTTCTATGCTTAAAATCTAGCTAGTGAGCAGGGGTAGGAGAAGAACTCAGATTTCAACATGAATCCTCTGTTAGAAATAAAAGTCCTGCAATCTAAAGTATTTGCATCAAAATATACTTAAAGTACCAAAAGCACTCATTATGCAGATTGGCCCATTTCAGAATAATATATATTATGTGTTTTTATTATGATTATTGATGCATTCATGTGTTTATCAAAGCTGGTAAAGGTGCTGCTAGTTTTGATGACTTTAATTATTGATTATATTTCACTTTAATCCAGATCGGTAAATTAAGGTACAAAATACATTTAGTTGAGTAAAAGTAAACGATTCCCCTCAAAGTACAAAGTAGCATAAATGGAAATACTCAAGTAAAGTACTATGTCAGTATAATAATAATAATAATAATAATGGATTAAATTTTTTATTAGAGCGCTTTTACGGGTGCTCAAAGCGCTTTACAAATACACATTACACATATTAGACATGTAAGAGTCATAACTGTGGACATTACCCACAGGAGCAAATGCGGGTAAAGTGTCTTGCCCAAGGACACAACGGCCTGACGCAGTTGCGGCCGAGGCGGGATTCGAACTGGAGTTCACCAACGCCCCTTGATCTGATGACCAACGCTCTAACCACTGCGCCAAAACCGCTCCAAAGTATCTCAAAATTGTGCTTGAGTACATCCACTTAGTTACTTCCCACCTCTGCTGTAAGATTACATAGCATCTAAAGGGTAACACAGGTGCAACACTTGAAGTATACTGTAGTTAAACTAAAACGTCCCTTGAAAAATCATCCAAGCAAGAACGAAAGGGTTAACACTTAGCACGTTAGTATGGTCATTAAACGCTGCAGTAAAATCAAGACACACACACACGCGCCAACACACACACACACACACACACACACACACACACACACACACACACACACACACACACACATCAAATAAGTAAGGAGAATACATGTGTTTCATGTGGTGTTTGTATTATGCAAAGGATGGAAGCAGCATTATTGAATAACACCTTAAGAATGCAGTTAGAAATGGTTCAGTTCTCTGAGGAGGTTATGTAACAGGATGTCATTGAGTCTCTGACCTTGAAGTGAATTCATGTTCTCCAGGCACGATGCAGCGTTTCCACTGACAGCCTCTAATTTGAAAATATAAACCCAAGACTTATCGGTGCATTGAACACTGGAAGCTGTTTCTTACTTAGAAATAGTTCATTTTTCCTCTCAAGGTTAAAAACTGGGCTACATTTATGAGCCACGTGTTGTTGATCCGATGTTCCCTTGTGAGTCACAGTCATGTATTCAAATGATCAACACAACTAAAAGCATGATAAATGCTGAACAAAGAAACCTTTTTTGGTGACTGAAGGAGGATGTTTTGTCTACTTTTGATATTTATGGAAGCACAAACGGCTGCAACAACCAACAGAATATCAATGTATCAAATGTAAACACTACTAATATTTGTTTGTTGAAATTTTACTCAACCATTGAATTGTAAATCTATCGGACTCTTTTTACATCTTGCATTTTGAAATAAAATAAAAAAACTTTTAAAATGTTTGACAGGATACAAAATAATTTTTTTGTTTTTGTTTTTCGAACACCTGACGAGAACAATGCCATGACAGAGGTTGACTTATACACAATACAAAATCCCAAAAAATAGCACCAAAGAAAAGAGGAACAAATACCAAGGAGCATGCAGTATATTGTAACATATTCAAACACAACGTTATTAAACATATGAGTTGAGATTTGGCCTGCTCTTAATAAGAGAATATGTAAAAGGTCATTTTTGTGTCCAGTGTCCTGCCTAATATTTGACTATGTGGTTTCACAGCTGCAGAACGAGCAACAGAAAAAGCCTGATAGGAAGCGGTCAGTCTACAGGTTTACCCCGACCTCACTCGCCTCTCTCGTCTCTAACGGGTAAGTGTACAGTACGTGCCAAAATCACAAGTGTGTAATGCAAAATACCAGAAAATGCAAGTAGAAGTATATTCCTGCTGCGATTCCATTTTTAAACCAGTGGCAGCACTATTAGGCACAGTCATACAATAATGATATGATCAGATGGAAAATCACAGGTAATGTCCACACTCTTTACTGTTGACTGATTCTAAAATAGGCTTGTGAAAGTGAAAAGTTGTTATATAAGCTAACCTCTTTCAGTGTAAATGAATCTGTCTCAGGTCATTGCTGTGGTGTTTGGGGCAGCTTTAAACAGTACAGTAGCAGGTTGAAGGGCAGTGATTGTGCTGGCTGAGGAAGTGGTGGCCTGCACAGAGGAAATGCACGGGAGTGGAGGGAGGGCACATTTACCACAGGGCGTTTTATTTCCGGGCATTGGTCAGCAAAGATAGAGCCTCAACTCACAGAGTTTGGTCTGTACTTCTACATAACGAAGTCTTAAAGATGGACTCAGAAAGCCACAATGTTCTTCTTGCTAATGAATGTGTTCAGCACTGGGATGACCTAACTCTGTGGCTCAGTCGTAATATTGGTGCGAAAGGTAAGAAAAACATCCTTTTTAGTTCCATTTACAGCAGGAATCAAAAGTGAGTCCACTGTAGAATACACAGATGACGCACCATAAGAACGTTTCTAAATAGACTGGATGTTATTCTTGTGATCTCTCACAGATCAATTCTTAGGTAATGATCATGAATAATTGTATAGTCGACATTACCTTGAACCATATTTCCTGTTATTCCTCACGAACAACGTTCTCACAGTCAGTAAATAATAGGTCTCTTCAGTTGCAGGCTAATACGAAAGAAAGAGGTTATCATCTGTAATTGGCTGCGATTAAGATTACAGTAGAATAAAAAAGGTAATGTTAATCACTATCAAGATTCAGTGGGGCTATCATTGTCCGCCAGTATGGATAATGTCTGATTAATGCAAGACCATAAGGTTTGTTCTTAGATTACAGCGGTCCAAACACAACTGCTAATTGGTGCTTTTGAAAAAGTCCCTACTAGTACATATTTTTATTTTAAACATGATGTGTTTGATTCCCTAACGCTTCTATTAACAATGTTACACTACAAATCATTATAGATAGCATATTATGTCTGTTACAAAACATGCTTCTTTTATTTAAGGAATAACCCAAATATGCCCCTTGTTCATTGAATTCAGACGCTATATCCTTGTACTCAATACTGTGGGCAATCCCCACAGGAGCAATTTGGGGGGGAAGTGTCTCAGGGACACAACGACATGCTGACTGCAGTGGGGTTTGAACCTGTTGTGACCCCCTGATCCGAACACCAACGCACAACCCACTGCACCACACGCCTCGCCCTAAAATGACAGCAATTCGCCTTTTCTGTAATTTACCTTTTAAATGTTTGTTTCATCTTTTGTTTTTTCTTATAGGAACAAGCCCACAAGACAGTCCTAGAAATTTCTCTCCTAGTGCCTCGGCTCATTTCTCCTTTGCACGAAGGTAATAATAGCCATTGATATTCACTTGATTTGCAGCTGGACTTCAGCCAGTAGAGACCAGAGGGGCACCTGTTGGATGCAGTTCATCAAAAATAAAAACAGTGTGCTTCGAGTCGTAGCTATTCAACAGTAAAAACTGAAATATATATATGTATTCCCTGCCCGCCCAAGTGTAAATGTATAGCCTCTTGAGTCTATTTCTGCTTTAAAAACAGCATCAATAGCTATGTTATTTATCTATTTTTAATTTGAACTCAACACGATGTCATGTAATTGTTTTTTTTAATTAAAATCCACAGTCATTGCCACAGAGCAGACAGGTAACATTTTATTTTAGGTTTTCATTTGAGCTTGAATTTTCATTACATCTCATTTGTACAAAGTTGACTTTATAATCCTACCCCCTTCATTTGTTTGCCATACGTTTTCTGTTCCATCCTTCTTGCATCAGGTTTCAGATCTTCATTCAGTGTTTGCTTTCCTCTGTTGTGTAAACCAAATCATCTGAAAAAACTAAAGCAAACAAAGGTTACCTTCATCTATAACCACATATTCATTAAGATTGTAGCAGTTGATTTACAAGTTTGTAATACAAACATGTAAATAATTCATATTTCATTTGAAAGGATAAGTTGTTTTTAAAAGAAGACACACGTTTTTCTCACTGACTAGCTTCATCATGTATTGTTCATTATGGATTCAGCGTGAGACTCTGAGACTTGATGTTCTGTGTCTCTGCTGTTGTGTAACAGGACTGATGGTCGCCGCTGGTCGCTGGCCTCCCTTCCCTCGTCTGGATATGGAACCAACACGCCCAGCTCCACCATCTCTGTAAGCATCATTCACTCACCCAGTGTGACTCGTGTGGCATCAAAACATATCACAGGTCAATTTAAATAATCTGAAGAAAACAAATGAAAGAAATCAACATAACTGAGTAATTAAAAGCAGCAAGGAATATTTTAAGGAAACAATATTGTGATTATTTGCTATTCAATAAACTACAAGCTATATTTGTCCTCCTCTTAGTCATAAACAAGGTATGACTGTAGCAAGTACAATTAATAGATATATATATATATATATATACATGTAACGTTTCTACATAATTAGAGTCAAATACATTTTTTTATTTTTTTTATAACCCAGCCAGTAAGAGAAAAGTTAACCTGCTAGTGTTGTACCCCAAATGATTCATCCTGAGGTAAATTCTTTGCAGCAGTTGCAGAACAAAGTAGGAAAGAGTGCATATATAAACTGTGTAAGCATGCATTCCAAAATACTGTATGCACAAGATAAAAAACAGATGTTGATAAAAGATTCTGACAATTCTGCATCTCTGTTCACCTGGCCATTTGTCATTTATTCTTTCTCTTACATTTTTTGATTCGAGTCACATAGTATTGATAATACAGTTTGATTGACAGGTCGTTCTATTAAGTGACCCAAAAATAGCAAATTAAATAAGAAACAATTCATAGTGCAAAAACATGATAGGAAGTTGGTCAAGTAAACATCTGTCAGCATGCAGAACAAAGTCAAGTTACTTTAATGTGGAGTACAGTATTTGTCACGATGGCTCTATTTACCCTTTTATGAGCCTGGCTCACAATTCTTTGTGAACAAACACTCTCTATGAGAGGCACAGATTTGTTCTGGAGTAAACATGACTTTGACAAGAACGCAACAAGCACACACCCACACATTTATCTCTCTTATTGTGACTAGTTGCTCCGTCTACATCTCTCAAACGTAATTGTGTTCAAATATATCTGTGTTTATAGGAAGTAGACATGTGCATACAATACAGTCCAAGTAAACACAGACTAACAGGATTACAAAGTATCATGAGGATTGTGTTTTAGTTTTGTGTGACATTTGGTCAGCTGGTACATTTCCTGCTATTCACACCATCTATCGAAGGAAGCATGTCTTTGTTTCTCTGCTGAAGTCATGAGTCAATTCATACTAGAAACAGTAAACGTCTTTAGCATGTGCTAACGGTCAAGCTCTTTCTTCAGTTATTCACTACAACAGTTAGTGAATGTATTAATTGTTAAATCATTTGTGTGTGTAAGAGCTGTATCAATGTCCCATGTACATTTTGTGTGCTTTAGTGGAATGGTTAATCATTTGGGAAATATGCTTATTTGCTTTCTTGCTAAGAGTTACAGGAAAATATTGCACTGGCCTTGTCTCCAGCATGGTCTACGGCCAGGAGATGGTTAACTTAATTTAGCATTAGCAAGTCTGGAAACACTGGGAAACAAGGTTGAAAAATGCATTACATCTACTGTAAATGTCACTTTTGAACACGTCATTATGCTATTTGACTCTCCAAAAAAAGCATTATTCCCTAAAATGTACAGAACATTGCCAAAATGCATGATTTTTCTTTTATGGTATTTTTTTCATCCACAAAAAAAAATGCCGTCTTCTTTTTTTTCCTTTTCATTTTGAATTTAAATGTGTTTCATTTCCAGTCATCCTGTTCATCACAGGAGAAGCTGCACCAGCTGCCCTTCCAGCCTACGCCTGATGAACTGCACTTCCTCTCTAAGCATTTCTGCACAGAGAGCATCTCTGGGGATGAGTGCCGCAGAGCCTCGGCTCAGATGCGACCGCGATCACGCAGTCTCAGGTATTTGTCCTCTCTGCAAATACACGTCATCCTACAGTAACGTGCAAGTGCGTACCATTGGTGCCACTCAAGTACTGATTTTTTTAAATAAAGTTTCATCTTTATTTGGTTTGTGACTCGAATCCACTTTAAGATCAACATTTTTTAATCCAGTTCAACAGTTTCCTCTACATATTTATATATATATATATATTAATATTGTTATGCTTGTTTTATATGTATGTTTTCATATATGATTTGATTTTATATATATCAAAAATCAAATGACAAAACAAACCATCACAAAATAAAGTTGTATTAGCACTGAAAAAAAACGTAAATAAAACAAGCATATCAATATTAAACTACATATCGGTTAATATAAATAAGTCCCACATGTTATTTCCAATATGATATCATATCATAAAAATACATAAATATTATTAAAAACTAAACCACAGACTTCATATTAGTGTATTATATATTTTTGTATTGGAGTACTATCAATGATATAGTACAATAGATTGGTATCATGCAGTACAGTCCCTTCCTAAGTATATGATTCTTGAGTGATAAATCTTATGTTCCCAAATGATCTCCATTAGCGGTGCCCATATTTCTTTAAGAAAATAAATATATAATCTTAGCATATGTGTATTTTTTTCTATTGTATAAATACTTTGTCAACAATTAAAATGAACTGATTTGTGTCCAATTTGTTTTTCAGCCCTGGAAGATCTCCTTCATGCTACGACCATGAGATTATCATGATGAACCACGTCTACAAGGAGCGATTTCCCAGAGTGAGAGCTCCCAATATGTCCACTACCGCCGACAGCCGTGTCCGGCCATTAATTATATTAAGCATTGAAAAACTGACACCTCCCCTTCTTCCTGCAGGCCACCGCTCAGATGGAGGAAAGGATTCAAGACATCATCCGAAGCAACTCTCCGGAGAGCGTCCTCCCTTTGGCAGATGGTGTGCTCGGCTTTGCCCACCACCAGATTATTGAGCTGGCCCGTGACTGTCTGGAGAAGAGCCGGCAAGGACTCATCACCTCCAGCTACTTCTGCGAGCTCACTGACAAGCTGGAGAGGCTGGTTCAGGAGGTGAGCGCGTCTCCAGGAATGATCTACTATTTCAATGAAGATATAAAACAGTATTCAAATGTGCTGTGTAAGACAGCACAAAGATAGAGCCCCGTTTTGGGTTTTCAATGTATTATATTGCATTTGAATTACAGAGCTAAAGTATTAGTGAATTAGAACAATTATTATCCGATTATTTTTCACTTCGAGATGGAAAATTATTTAGTAGTTTGACCATAAAATGTTTTTGAACTTGTTTCTTATGATGCAAGTAGCCAAAATGTCTGTGTCCTTTTTTTTTTATGAAAGAAAAATAAAGATTCAAGATGAAAAAATATATATTAAAAAAAACTGAGCATTTGACATCTTTGAACAGTGAATTTGGGCAGGGGCATATACATCATGTCTAGGTACCATCTTTGTTTAGGTTAAGAAAAATATTACTTAACTGATGAAAATCTTTCTTTCTATCGTGCAACAGAAAGAATTCTGTTTCTCATCTAGATGTTTAAATGAGTCGTTAGGGTTTCCAGAAAGTACAACCTCTGTTTAGAAACATGATGGTTATGCGTTACTGACACAAATTGTCATAAATATAAACCTTGTTGCTTTTTCTTCTGACTTTTTTCTAGCTTACAATAACATGTGGAAATCCTGTATCTTTCTGTGCAGTCAACAGAGAGATCGGAGAGTGACGAGGTAAACTTCATCAAAGAGCTGGTGAAGAAGATCCTCATCATCATAGCCCGACCTGCTCGACTGCTGGAATGTCTGGTAGGTTAAATATCACAGCCTCTGATCTGTTTGTTTACCCCTGGATTTATATAAAACATTTCCACTTGATTTTTAAATATATTTCTTATTTTTGTGTTGCTGGTTCAGACAAAAGAGAAAACATGTTGCTGTAGTATTTCTTTCTTTGTATATGTGTGACTCAAGTAGTAGGTAAGTCTGACAGTATCAAAGCAGTGTATTTATCTATCTTTAGCAGAGTTGACACATGCCACTTTTTACTGCACACTGCAACTTATAAAATACATCTGTGAGTCTGATACAGAAAAGTCCTACAAGTGTAAGTAATTCAAACACACTTCTGAAACATTATTCATATAATAAATCATGCTGCTGTCTGCAGGAATTTGACCCGGAGGAATTTTACCACCTTTTGGAGGCTGCTGAAGGACACGCTAAAGAGGGCCAGGGCATCAAAACAGACATCCCACGTTACATCATCAGCCAGCTGGGACTCACAAGAGATCCTCTGGAAGGTAAAGGAAGTTTATCATCATCAACATCAGCGATATTCAAATACAAACTATAACACCAGGAAATACAAGGTTTAAACAGAATGAATAGATGTGCTTAAAAAAAAAACCACAACATTCAAATGATTATTATGAACTATAATGTTATGGTTAGAGCTTCAAGCTATTTGGGACAGCCTTACTACAAATATCTTTCCTTGGTTCACGAGACAATCAAATGATCAAACGGCATGAAATGTAAAGTAAAATATTCTAATAAACATTTCCACTATTACGTTGGCAGCTTGCAGGAATTTATGGTATCGAGATACTTTTTTAGGGTTTACTTCTATAATGCCATCAAAGTTTCACAGTCGTTGCGGTAAATGTGAATACACAGTAACTGGTGAAGCTGTGAAGGAATGAAAGAACCGAAAGACAAAGATACTCTTGACTAATGTCCTGAACAGACCGTCTTTCTAATGACTCTCTGTCCCTCCAGATTCAGCAACAAACCACATTCATTATGACTAATTAGAAAGGAATGGCTTCCCCACAGACCTAACACAGATCCACACAGGCTGCCTCATCAGCCCATCTCTCGTCTCATTTCCCACGAGTGTCTCTTGTGTTGCGTTTGCCCCATGCCTTATGTGCCTCAAGCAGACCTACAAGGGAGGACAGATGTTAAATAGCAGCGGAAATGTGTTTACAGGCTCTCTCGGGGCAGGACAAACACCCCCCTGTGAGAGTGCACACATGGACTGTGGCATGATTGCAAAATAACACAGAGAAAAAAAATAAAAGATGCAAGGTGGTTTATAATGAGCAGTTGTTCTGGAGTAGTGATTTTCAAAGTGTGTGTTAGACATGTGTTGGTGTTGCCAAATCTAATTTCCGCCCCATTTATTCTCAATTCAGATTATCTTGGAGTCAGCACCTCACACCTAATAGGTCGATAAAGGCTGCTGTTATGTTGTTTTGTTTAAAAGTCCTGATTTCTCAGCATGTAACTTTGTTTTAAAAACTGCACCGCAGAACCTGTTCATCTTGTAGGCCTCACATGCAGTTTTAGATTTATAATCCACTAGCAACACTTTATACATTTTAAACTGCTCCTTCTTTCTTTCTTTGTTTTGTAGAAATAGCTCAGCTGACCAGCTGTGACAGCGGGATTGCAGAAACACCAGAAACAGACGATTCTGTAAGCACTTTTTTCCTATTGATCTCCTCCGTCTTTACTGCGTCCACAAATACAGATTTGTTCTCTTTGAGGTGTTCTAGTATTTGTCTCTCTTCTCGCCCTCAGTCTCAGAGCCTCAGCACAGCCCTGCGGTGTCGCCGTAAACCCTGTGAACTAGACTTTGAGATGAAAAAACTCATCAGCAATGGTGCCTATGGGTAAGGACGTCTTATTCCAAATCTGATCTGGTTATAGATGCATCACCAACAATTTCATTTTCTTTTTATTATGTTAGATTTACTTCCCCAGTCTAGGACATTGTTTTGTCACAGCAGCATGTAAACAAGGCATTGCACACAACATTAAAATAAACATAAACCGTAAATATATATATATTATAAACAACACAAATATATATACTGTATGCATAATGTATCTATATTGAATACAGAATATAAATATACATAATACGTTTGTATAGACTATAACAGACCAACCTACTGCTTAAACATTTTTTAAGTTCAGACTTGATGATCAACTTACAAAATGTCTCCTAGCTGACCTTTAAACCATTCCTAACTGTCCCACAGAGCTGTTTATCTGGTTCGTCACAAGGAAACAAAGCAGCGGTTTGCCATGAAGAAGATCAACAAGCAGAACCTGATTTTGAGGAATCAGATACAACAGGCCTTTGTGGAGCGAGACATACTTACCTTTGCAGAGAACCCTTTTGTGGTGTCCATGTACTGCTCCTTTGAGACCCGGCGGCACCTGTGCATGGTCATGGAGTACGTTGAAGGTCAGCAGAAAGGTTGTTTAGTGCAGTTTAAGTGCTGCAGCTGAAAGCACTTTGAACAACATCTCCTTTGTGTTCTCTTGTCAAATCACTGCATTTATCTCTAAAGGTGGAGACTGTGCCACTCTTCTGAAGAACATGGGTCCTCTGCCTGTGGATATGGCCAGGATGTATTTTGCAGAGACGGTGCTGGCACTGGAGTATCTCCACAACTATGGCATCGTCCACAGAGACCTCAAACCAGACAAGTGAGGCCTTGCACATTTTAGATATGAACCCTATAGAGATAGATTATTCATATCTGCATTTCACTTCAGCATTTTACTGACAGATATTTCCATCAGAAGTTGGTGGATGTTAATGTGTCACTAATTTACATACATAAAAATATATCATTGTCAAATACATAATGTTGCCTTATTAGTTCTTTAAGTTTTGGAAATTAAAGTACTTTTTCATATATTTGTTTACATTCTTTAAATGAATTGATGAAAGCAGGAATTTGACATTGTGGTATCACTTCTACCGTTACTAAAGTAAACAATGTAATTACTATTAATATTTTTTCAAAAACTTCTAATGCTGCTTATATATTCTGATTACAGTACCTAGGAATATAAGTAACCTGTGCACTTCTACATACTGTAATTATCACTGTGTGGAAGCTCAACTGCCTAAAGGTTGTATTTTATCATCACAATCCTTGTAATTGTGACATTCTCTCTGGTTTCCTCGCAGTTTGCTGGTCACATCAATGGGACACATTAAACTGACAGATTTTGGGTTGTCCAAAGTCGGGCTGATGAGCATGACCACTAACCTGTATGAGGGACATATAGAGAAAGACGCCAGGGAGTTCTCTGATAAGCAGGTATATCTTATTTAATGAAAGTTTTGACAAAACCTATTCTTCAAACCACATCTTGTTATGGATATTTATTCATATTTAATTCTGTATAGGTCTGTGGAACGCCTGAGTATATTGCACCAGAGGTGATCCTGAGACAGGGCTATGGGAAGCCGGTGGACTGGTGGGCGATGGGCATCATCCTCTACGAGTTCCTGGTGGGCTGCGTGCCTTTCTTTGGAGACACACCAGAGGCGCTGTTCGGACAGGTCATCAGTGGTCAGTATTACCCCCCCTAAAATGTTAAACTATTAGTAGAGTTTCTGTGTGACATCTGTGAAGTGTATTAAACCTCACNCAGTACCTACACAATTTCAGGATAGACAGATTATAATCAATGAAAAGTATTTCCTTCATACTGCGACGCGACAGTCATATGAACAGGGACAAACACTAACCAGGTTTACATCCGATTGGGGCGGAAAGTGCACTTGCGCGAGAGTCAGACCTTCCTCTCTTTGGGGACCGAACTCAAATGGCTCAAACTATTCGGTCGCAGCACATCCTGGCGAATCGCTCTAAGAGTAACAATCCCAAACAATTTCTATTGAGTTTGTTATAGCGTCCCAGGCACACTTGACCGAAGCATCGTGGTCCGTGTACCACCGACGTATAGTCGCGATTTCAGTTTCTGTGTTGTATATATAATCATATAATAAAATGGTCCTACGTCACTGTGTCTTATAAACCCTTCCGAATCGGAAGGGATCAGATGTCATGGGCGGCGGGGACGACATTACCATAAAAATACAATAATAGTAATAACACAAACAGTAGAAAAAACATAAAGAAAACAAATATATCGTGGACGTAAACATTAGACATAAAAGAGACGACAATATTTTCTTTTTTCTTCGAACTCTAACTGGCGGAATTTAGTTGGTAATTCCTTGCCAACAAACGCAGGTTCCGTTCGCAGTCGCACCCTGATGCGTTAGTGTAGATAATCACTCCAAATTATGTAAGTGTCTACAGTGTGTCTTTGAGATGATTATCAAATTGTAAAATCCCCGCCATTTTGCACTGGTGACTACTGGACAGAGCTTGTCGCGGAGACCAACACAGAGGTTTCTTTCCGTGCGTCGGCGTGGTCCTTGAGCATCTCCTAACTACGGTAGCGTGGTCAGTGGCCGAAGGGTATCGGACAGAGTCCTAGTGGAGACGACGGTAATCGAGGATACAAGCCACATAGTTGCACCTGCAAGGTGAATATAGAACAACTGGTTAAAAAATAAATAAACTACAGAGTGTTTGAAAGCGTACAACAGTTTTATGATATCACTGCCCCGTCTAGACACGAGTAGATCTGACTTTAATTACATTTGAGTTGAGTGTTTCGTCAACTTAATGTGTTGCTTAAAATAATACTTCTGTATACAGTATGTGACACTGTGAGTGATGCACGGCCAGATACGGCTGGAGAAGCTGACTCAGATAGGAAATATATGATATATTATGATATTATATGATTGATGATCTGATTGATGATATGAATGATAAGTGCAACACGTCGGCGTCTTCTCTGCATACGGCAGTTTAAACTGTATTTCCTTTATCCTGTAATATGACTTGATAGATTTAAACTCCGCACACTGAGCTCTGATTGGTCAGCAGGCGGTGCTTTCACTGAGTTGATCTCTTTTCTATAGACGCCGGAGGTGGGCAGAGTCAGGTAAAAAAAGTGATTTAGCCTTCCCAAACCTGAGCCTCACGTGCCGCCTATGCATTACAGTAATAGCAATGACAAAAATAAACCAAAATACACAATGACACGATAAGACAGAAACTCAAGCTTTTTATTTCCCTTAACCATTACATGACGTATTTTAATTACAATGCAAAGCATGACATTTCACAGAAGCAAAAACAAAACATCATCTTTTTAGTATTCTTCATTAAAGTTTGTACTTCATGATCAAAATAAACTATATTTATTAGTGCTTCATGCTTCCCTCACGGCATCTGGCTTGTAGATTACTGTCAGCACATGAGGAGATATTCTCAATCAGATATGAATTAAACATTTACATAGTGACCACAAAGAATTAGTCCCTCGAGTTTTGTTAGCCAAACAGATGGCAGTAAGTGGATTTATCTTGACTTTAGACCACAAGTGCATTTTTTATAATTCTGATAATATGACTTGTTCTCATCTTGTAGTCTCATGGTGACAGCAATAGAGAGAAAATCTTAATCTTGAAAACAAGAGCTTTTATCTTGTCAGCGGTGTGGCTCAGATGAATTGTATTATTCTGAGTTGTTGGATAAGGGCCTCTATCTGCGGCATGGAAATGAATGGCATGCCATGACTGATTTGCTATTCTCTCAATCAAATTGTACCAAGCCTCTGAGAGGGACTGTTAATTAAAGGCGCCAGAACACACTGAATGCATGGCACCGTGGCCTCGGGCCGCACATACATATTCATAGCTCCCCTCCCAAATTTGATTAAAATGGGGCCAAATGGTGCACAGAGCAGACAATCAGCAGGGCACAGACAGACTTTGCTCCCCTTTTCATTGCTTATCCATGAGGCTTTTAGAAAAAAAGCATATGTAAATTGTCTCATTTAACATTATGCTTACACCTCAGAACTGACTCTGATTTGTCTGACTTTGCTGGCTAAGTATTTCTTTAAAAGAGCACCTCAGAGCAGTGGGTCACAATTGCATGAAAGTATCACATTCAATATAATAATTTAAAAACAATCTTACAACATACCTAAGGTTTGTTTTCATACTCCTAATGTTTTCATAAACTGGTTTATAATTTAATACAAGCTATAAAACATGGAGCAAGTCGACTGCTACAGTGTCATGATTGCTTATGTATGGCCTGTTCCTTGCAGATGAATAAATGCAAACAACTAATTATGCACTCTGAGCTAACAGGGATTGACTATTTAGTTTGCAATTCATGTTTTTAAAGCAATAAAGCAACTCATTCTGGTTTGTTTTTTACCTACAGTGATCTCAGAAACACTTCTATGTATTTCCTTATCAAAGCTTTTTGCTTGCTATCTTTAAATAGTAGCTATTGAGGTTCATGAGCTTCTTGTATGTCAGAGTATTTTACTTTCAAACTGATCGCGTGCATTGTGTGTTTTCCAGATGAGATCAACTGGCCTGAGGGAGACGATGCCCCCCCGCCTGATTCTCAGGAGCTCATCACCTTGCTCCTCCGACAGAACCCTCTGGACCGGATGGGTGCAGGTACTGACACAAAGGGCAAGGAGAGATGTGGCACAGCCAGTATCTCGGTTAGGATCAGAGAGGCGCAGCAGGCCTCCATAAATGATCATGTGACGAGCCGCCTCTGCACCGCTCATAATTCCTAGTCACTGGGGGAAAAATTGAGGCCACAGCAGAGCAGTTTATCCTGTGGCCTCTTCACCTCGTCCCCTTGATCTATTGCAATTATTTCCCTGCCAGTCCATGAAACTAGTTCCATGATCCGGCATTAAGAGTGTGTAGCTCTGTGGAGTGTTAAAAGATGCCATGACCTGGGACAAAGGCATTCAAAGAGAGGGACGCACGTAGCATGTTCAACTGGGGGGGACAGCTGGATGCCTTGTTTGTCTAGAAGCCCCCTCTCCAGGCTGCCATTTACAAAATCTCCTGCTACTCCACAAAAGGTCACGGGCAGGAAATTGTCCTGCATAATTTACGGTCATGTTATCGGTTAGTCCTGCAACCACTAGGGAAAAGGAAAACATAGCGTTGTTGTTTTTTTTACGTCCTGTATCTCTCTGAGACCCTCATTTTGAATTCCCAGTGTTTTCATCACAAGAAGTTTTAACGTCTGTCCTGGAAATTGTATTTTAAGTAGTTATCATTTGTGCTTGTTTGATCTGTAGGTGGAGCTGCAGAAGTAAAGCAGCATAAGTTTTTCAGTGACCTGGACTGGAACAGCCTGCTGAGGCAGAAGGCAGAGTTTATTCCTCAGCTGGAGTCTGAGGATGACACCAGCTACTTCGACAGTGAGTTTTCTCTTTTATGTGAACATAATATGTCAAATGTTCTATTATCATCATACAGTATTTATAAGTTGTTTATCTGTATCTTTGGGCGAACCTGGTTCTGAAAGTCCCATTTCAATGTGGAGCACTTCTACAGCTTGCATCAGAATTAAACATAAGTGCCAGACATTTAGAACACATTTTTCTAACTGCTGATTTGTACCTCCAAAACCTAGAACATGATATTGCAAATAGAATAGATGCAAACATAGTGTGTAATAAAATACTTTAATATTATCTTTATTAATTTTCTCATGTTTGTTTGCCATGTGATTAAAAACCTGTGCAGATACAGCCAGAAAAAACATCTTGTTTTAAAGAAAAAATATTGGAAGAATTGGCCTGGAACATTTATAGTACAACTCACATGACACACCAACATATTGTAAATGAAATAAACAAATCCACGAAGTGACTCTGCTAAAACATAGCCTGGGGTACAGTGATTATAAGTTGTTATACTTAAATCGTCTTGAGGCACTCATTAAAACTCTTAATAACTGAGTGAAACCTGAACCTCCCATCATCCCCAGCTCGCTCTGAGAGGTACCATCACCTCGAGACAGAAGAGGACGATACAAACGATGAAGACTTCAATGTGGAGCTGCGGCAGTTCTCCTCTTGTTCGCACCGATTCTCCAAGGTTTGTCCTTAATCTGCTCCCCTCACATTTTTCAAACTAACATCATCGTTACCTCCTGAGATGTTAGTAATGTAAATGAGTGGATGGAGTGTTAGGAAGTGTCTAGAAAACACACCCGCTGCCCCTTTACCCTAGAGTATTAAACGTTGGATTTGCATACATTTTCCGCCTGCAAATCAGATCTGTTTTTTCTTTTTCGGTAATGTGGAACACGATACACAATACAGTCGTACGAGCTGGGAGTCATTGTTGTGCTGCATTGCAGTATGCTCCCCTCTCACATCAACACAGAGCATTACAGTGTCTCAGAAAGCAGCGGGGCTTCTCCGAGGAAGCGTTGAGCAATGTTTCAATGTTTTTCCCTCGACTGCACCTAGAACTCCGAGGTTGTAATTCATGATGAAGTCTGCGTTAACACCGAAAACACTTATCTGCATCACATTTCCTGTAAATAATACTGCATTTGTTAATCAATCTGTGTAGCTTAATCAGTATCTGACAATGTGTGTTTTAAACATAATGTTGCCTTTACAGCCTAGCATGTACTGAAGTGAGTTATTGTTTCTGTGTGGTTGTCAGGTTTACAGCAGCCTGGATTTGTCCCGTGGGCTCCTGGAGGAGAAAGGAGAGACGGAGGGGAAGAAGAGTGAGAGCCCACTGACTGTCGACTCTCTCAGCTGGACACCAGATTTTGCTGAAATGTATGTTTGAAACTCAAGTTCATTAAACACATGCATAAACCAAATACAGTATGTAGCAGAGATGATATAAGCAGTTAAGGCATAATGCTAGGATTAGAAAATCATATTACACACAAGAAGAAAATACCTATTTGATTATTTTACGGTTCCCATTTCATTCAGTCACATGAATAGTTTGCTGGATTAGCTACTTAACATAATCCTCATGGAAACCTAGCCAAAACATATACAATACATTCAGCTCTTTCTGTTAGAATCTGTTCATCTCATTATAAATGTTTCTTTATTTTCCACCAGGCCCTCACTCTCCCACTCCACAGACACCGACAGTCTGAATCCGGGTCTTCGCCCCAACGCGTTGCCAAAGTTTGCCATCTCAGCAGAGAGTGAAGCAGACGAGACCTCCGGCCTCGGTGACCCCAGCAAGAGCTCCATCTCCTTCGGAGAGCTCCCGCAGGACGAGCCGGACGCTACCACTCCAGGCAGCACTCACAGTGGAGCCACGCTCTCTGGTACAACATTACACTGTGTGGAATTTCATAGTGTTTAAGTATCTTATTCTTCTGCCTGGTTTTCATTTGATAAAAATGTGTAAGTTGTAAGATCTCTGAAACACTGAAACTACAGAATCAAAAATGGTCTTACATTTTCCTCATTTATCACTTAAAGCTACAGTTTGTTGCAATTTATGTATTTTTCACTTAAATAATCAGCCATTTAACCTCCTTTGAATCCATAATTTGCCCTGTTTAAGTTTCTGTATGGACAAAACAATCAAGATAGAGCGGAAATGCACTCAAATAACAGACATGAGTTTAGTAAGAATTGTGTCATAAATCAAATCAAATAAGCTGTAAGATTATTTCCTAAAATATCCAACAGTTGTTTCTAGAATGGCAATCGTATCTTTAATCAAGGGAAGTACATGTTACCCTTACTCCATGCTCATCTTTTGTAATAAACAGGAAGTTTCTCAGAACATCTGGACCAGTTGACCCCCAGAGGTGAGGGGTTGCAGAGCCCAGACAGTACCAGCCATGCCTCCACAGACCATGGGCCTCAGAACAACTCTCTGCGACCTGAGAGCGCTGCAGAGAAGACCAGCGCTGTGGCAAAAGTCCCAAAGTCTGTCTCAACCGGTGCCCTTTCCCTCATGATCCCCGGGGGTAAGGCGAAGCACACAAACAGATGTGCATGTGTTGACTGAAAATGTGCCGTAATCATATACTGTAAAGGTTAAAGTATATCGGAGCAACAACGTGCCAAGAATCACAAAAAAGCCATGGACTTTGTACAAATAATGTGGAAAAGATTAAAGCAAACTCTATAGATCTGTGTGAAATGGGCCCAGCAATACACCTACCGTGAGTTTCATTTTACAGAGGGACTACGGGCAAGAAGCCGAGTACAAGTCTATAATAAGGAAAGTAAGCAGAAGCAAGAGGCCTTCACAGCTGGGAGCGGGAATATCCCATTAGTTTCACCCTCAGCAGGAGCAGCGTGAACCAGGCTCATGAGCTTTATAGACTCACCTGACTCCAGGGCCCGCTAATGTGTGATTGATTGAATGAAAAACACTGCTGCTCAGGTGGTGATTATCTTCTTTTTTTTTTCAGATACCTTCGGGGTCTCTCCTCTGGCCAGCCCCCTCTCCCCGTACTCCCTCTCCTCAGACCCTTCCTCCAGAGACTCCTCTCCAAGCCGAGAAACCTCCCACCTTACGGCCAACCCGCGGCAGCCCGTCGTCATCCACAGCTCAGGGAAGAAGTTCGGCTTCACGCTGAGGGCCATTCGGGTGTATTCGTGTGACGGGGACATCTACACTGTCTACCACATGGTCTGGGTAAGGACTACATCAGCCTGTAGTGAAACTCCTAATCAATTATAAGTCAGTGAACTGTGAGGGTGCTTTCACGCTTAACCGGTTTGCTGCTGTTTAAACAAACTGTGATGCATTAGTGTAGTTCATTTGGACACGTGTGAAAGCTGTCAATCAAATTGTAGTGTAGACCAAACAGACAAACTAAGACTGAATTAAATGAAGGGTCTTTGTTCACTCCTTGGGAACTGTGAGTATCTATATATGTAATATATACTGTTGATGTTGATACAATATTTTGAATGTGTCAAATGTGACTAATGGAATTTTTCCTGATCAATGTGAAAGTGAACATTTGTTTAAACAGCACTTGTACAAATTAGTAGTAAAAGGTAGAAACCACACAGTAGCTATTCCTGTATTTGTACACAAAACACACAAAATGCACCATTCTGTTTGTTGAGACAACAACACACATGTTAGCACAGTACACAGCAGAGTAGTCACTAGAATTTGATTTCCCCCACATGGGTCCATGTAGCAATTATGATGCAGGATAGCAAACACCAAAATCACACAATGTATACACTTTCAGTGAATATCACTGAAGCTCTTGATTAGTTGCAATACGTGTGAACACAAACTTTGTTTTCTTTTGTCCCAAGCGAATGTGAAAATATACCTCAAACAACAAAATGACTGTAAGGAAATCTAGGTTATGAAAGTAAATCTCTTTTATGTGTCTGTTAATCAGAATGTAGAAGATGGCGGATCTGCACATAAAGCAGGACTCAAAGCTGGAGACCTCATCACTCATGTGAACGGAGAACCAGTTCACGGCCTCGTCCACACTGAAGTGGTGGAGCTCCTGCTCAAGGTAAATGACAATGTATTTTCTTCTTTAGTATCAGAAATTCAGTTTAAAAAAACCTCAACATTAAACATCATGTTGACTTAACATCATTTAGTTTTTATATTATTATTATTCCTTCCCTTTCAGAGTGGTAGCAAAGTGACCATCTCCACTACCCCCTTTGAAAATACTTCAATAAAAACTGGTCCAGCCCGGAGGAACAGCTACAGGAGCAAAATGGTGAGATGTTCCAAGAAGCCCAAGAAGGAGAAGACACCAGAAAGGTAAAACTCTTCTACTGACACTTTATATTTATTTTCAAATATATGTTTTTATCAAATTGTTATCGCATGGTTCGAATCTCATGTATAACGTTATGATGATACGTTATGAGTGAATGGTCGGATATCAACTGTGTAGACACTTTGATACCTATTGGCCCCTAGGGGGCAGAGAGATAACACTAAGAGAGTATTTGAATGCAGAGCATGCCTACAGGGTCATAGGGATATTTAGCATTTCAACAGGATTCAAATAGACTGAGTGCAAAACGATTTATGAAAAGCAAAAACAATGGACAATGGTATGGAGCTATTTCAGGGTCATAAGTTTTGATCATTCAAACAAATACCATTTATTTGAAAGTTCAAGTTTTTATCCTGAACTTTGAAAAATACAATGATGTATTCAAAATAAAAATAAGTATTTGAAATAATTTTTCAGGTTGAATATTATTTTGATTCAGTTCAGCAATTTTTTNTTTTTTAAAATAAAATATTTATTTTCAGATTTCACTTTTATACATATTTTGATATTTGAATCCTTATTTTTTTCAGTTACATTTTTTCAGTTTCACATTCTAGCACAGTTTATTGCTCTTATACCTTGATTGTTGCCAATTACGATGCTCAACAGCTTGCTTAAAGGAACTTTGACGCTGGTATCAGTTTACCACCAATCACGGGAGTATTGTGTATAGAAAGTATTGAGTTATATTTCTCGCGCTACCTAACATCCTTTAAGGCAACATGACAGAGGGAGGCCTGTCACTCAGGATGCCAAACTACTCTTTGCTAAGCCCCGCCCCCCCACGCAACATCAGGGCCAAAAGTTTGAAAGCGAAAAAAAAAGATCTGAAAGCGAAAAAAAAGGTCTGAAAGTGGAAAACGATCTGAAGGTCAAAAGAAATGTGAAACCTGAAAAAACAAGATTTGAAACTGAAAAAATAATTGTTTTGAATCTGAAAACGAAAAATCTGCAACTGAAAAAAATAAGGATTCAAATATCAAAATATGTATAAAAGTGAAATCTGAAAATAAATATTTTATTCAAAAAAAATTGCTGAACTGAATCAAAA